CCTAGAAACTATGAAACTATGAAAATCAGTTTAGCCATGTTAGCATGGCCTTGAGACCAGGCTAATTAGTTTTGCTGAGTGGCAGAACTTATTCTGCACAGAATCTGATTAATATGAATCTTCTGCTTCCAGTTCTGGAATGATCATATGGGGAACTAACCTGGGTATCCCTGCCTTTAGCCAGATAAACTCAAGTACATGAGCTAGTATTTTCATAGCTGGGTTATAATATCTCTTGAATGGCAAAGTATTGCTCTGTATAGACCTGCTCTATGGTCCCTTCCAAGCCCAAATTTAATAATTTTTTTTTTTTGGGGGGGGGGGGGGGAGACATGGAAATGTTCAGGAATATGGAATGGTGTGTGAACTTCAGGACCCACAGAAGGCAAAGGTTTTTTATGCTTTGTCTCTATAGAGAAAATCAAGAAAAGCAGCAAAGATAGAAGTACTACTGCCAAAATCTCTTAAACAATGGCCTACACTAGGAGTTTGTGAAATGGACGCTGTTTGATTCAGATTCAGCCCAAATCAGGGACGGTGATTTGATTCCTTAGTTCAGATCACTGTCCCCGATTTGATTTGGCCAAATCCGAATCTGAAGATTCAATGCTAATTCAGACAATCAGTGATTCGGACATAGACACAGCTTTAAAAGGTTTTTTCTACATACCTCAAGGTACCAGGTGCAGCTCGTGAACACTGTAATGCTGGGGTGGATGGAGCATCCCACAGGAACACAGAGGGGCCCTCTGCATGCTTGGCGATGAACCCAGAAATGAACTAGAAGTACTTCCGGTCCACTTCCAGTTCTGCTGGGGAATGCACTGGGGACCCCCTCCCCCCAGCTTCATGATCAGCCACAGGAGGACCCCAGATGCCCCCCTTAGACCCAGGAGGCACCAGTCGCTGAGCTGGTGTGGCGTGGGGGGCCTCTTGGTACACTTTCCGTTGGACCCAGAAGTGGACCAGAAGTGCTTCTGGTCCACTTCTGGGTCTGCTGCCAAGCACACTGGGGAGCCCCCCACGCTCCTGTGGGATATTCCATGTGCCCCAGTATTGCAGCATTCACAAGCCACCTGCTACCTAGAGGTATATAGAAGAAACATTTAAAGCTGTCTCTATGTCCAAATCACCAAATCTTTCTGAATCTCTCCAAATCAATTCAGAGGGTTCCGATTCGATTGGGAGAGATTAAAGGGTCCTCTGATTCAATTCAGATTTGGAGATTTGGCCGATGAATTGGACTGAATCTCTGCTGAATCAAATCAGGGACCAAAGCTTCGTACAGCCCTAACCTACACTTTGCAATATGAGTACAATGTGAAAGCATCAAGATCTTAAGCTTTGGGAATAAGAGGAACACTTTATTTAGTAGTTATTTTGTTGCCTTTACAAAGAGCTAATTTTCTCCCAAAAAAAGGTATTTTAAGATTTTGGGCAGTTACATCTCTGGACAGTATCTGAGAGAGAAGCTGGGCAAGGAACAGTTTTCCCAACCTGCAAAACTGTTTCCTTTCCACATTGGGTGGAAACTAACAACACTCAAAGGTTGCCTGTAGATAAACTGGGCGTCTACTCTGGCACAATGTTATTACAGCACATCAAAGCAAATTCAATGGAGTCTTCTGGAGCGTGCTAATTAGTGCACCCCACCAGCTTCTGCATCTCATGTATCAGTGTCCCCATGCTTCAAAATGGTGGTGAGGGCACTTTAACTAAAGTTCATTTGCTCAGCTTTAGTTAAAATACCCCTGCTGCCATTTTGAAGCACAAGAGACATTGCAGCGCTAATATCTGAGACATTACAGTGCTTTAATTAGAACAGCTCTCAGAGCCATTCTAATTAGTGTCCCACCCCCACCCCTGGAACATGTAAAAATGTCCTAAGTTTTATGCAAACAACTAGAGAGAGGGAGAGTAATCCCAGAGCAGCCAGATAGTCTAGGCATTCCAGGAGGCTGTGAGAAACCTAGGTTCAGCTGTTCACTTTACCTGACTCAGAGGTAACTGCAGAAGAACACAGTGGGCATGTCTACACATGCATTTACTGTGCGGTAAGTTATTGAACAGTAAGTGAGTTTAGGCTGGCATCTACACATTCGGGCATTAAAGTGCAGTAAGTCTGCGTGTGGACTGATTTGGGACTAACGTTAGTCCCAAGTCAGTCCACACACACAGTGTTACTGTGCAGTAAGGTGTCTACATGTGCATTACTGCACAGTAACTAACCGGGTGTAAATTTAATACCTGCATCATGCAGGTGTCAAATTTACACCCAAGTCAGCATAAGTTGCCATATTTACTGCACAGTATAGGCATGCACATGTAGATGCTGCCTTTACTACACAGTAATTTTCAGTTACTGTGAAGTAATTTCAGTTACTGCACAGTAAATGTGCATGTGTAGACATGCCCAGTGGTTGGTAATCTGGGGATTTGCATGAATCACAACTCTGCTTTAAAATATTACATGCTTGTGAAGACAAGACCTTATACTCAGAGCAGTGAAAGCAGAACCCTGTATCTTCACAGAACCCCTATTACCTTCAGTTCTACTGTCTTCAAAGAGGCTTGTAGGGACATGTTCTTCTCCTCTGAAAATTATTTAATTTCATACTTAATGCTCATCCAAGTGACTGTGACTATTACTTTTACTTCAGTGTTTCTAATACAAGTTAAATAGTCAAGTGTTCCTTTCAACTAAAAATATATAATTATTGTTATTGCTATTATTGTTCTTGTTATTGTTATAAAACCAGATTCTGGAAAGATCAAAAAATATGTGGAAATAATCTATTAGAAATCTAAATGCATTCCCATTTTTTATTTATTTTATTAATACAATATTTTCATCACTTTTTTTTATTACCCTCACCTGAAATTGTTATCTCTTTAAATTACGTGAGCTCTAGATGACTTGAAGCAACTTTTACCTGATGTGTGCCTCAAATTTTCTGAAGGAAGCCTTATTGAAGCATTATTCCAAGCTAGACTTATTGTCACAATTAAGTAAAATGCCATGTCAAGAAGCTAACTTTTTATATAAAAATAAAGATTTTAGTAGACTCGTTTTCATACGTCAGAGCATTTTAGAACTGTCTGCTTTAGGCATTTTGCTGGTGCTATTAGATGATGTTTCCCAAGCACCATCTCTTACAGAAGGTGTCAGTATAAAGAAAGGAACGCAGAACTATGTTATATGTGTACGTGTAGGAAGAAAATGTTATGCAAATAAAAACTAAAAGGTCTTATCTAAAAACTCTTGTTTGAACCAAGTCTCAAAACAGGAAACAAAGTTTCCAAACTTTCTATATGTCTGCTTAGATAAGACAGATTTGCTAATAAATCCAGAACCGAATAGGACATAAGAAAGAACTGTTTATAGTCTAAAATATGCTAAGACATTCAGAGCACCTGGCACAGCTTAAAACTAAATTGCATTATCTTACTGTAGGTTCAGAAAACTATCTTGAACAGAAGCTGAGAACACCTCGTCGACGATGTCAGCAGCCCAAAATGCTGAATAGCCCTGAGGATAACATGTACTATAACCAATTAAATGTGAGTTCAAAGTAGCAATAAAGCTGTTTTACTGGCTTTGTTTCCAGTTAATAATTCTGTTATTAATACCTGTTTCAGCCCTTCCAACCCCACCCCCACGTTCTTCTGCTCTCGTCTTGAACATGTGCTTATGCTCTTTATCTGTTGCTTTCATGTCAGGATGTCTGCCTTCACGGTGAATAATTGATGTGGTTTATCAAAGACGAGCAAGATGCATGCTTCATCAGGCTCACTTGAGCCCTTTGATCAAAAAAATTATGCTGTGACTTCTGATATTATCAGCATCTGCTTGCATTCAACACAAAATCACTTTGAATTAAAAATTAACGACTTGCTGCTTTGCTTTGACTGTGTGTTCTTGGCCCTCTCCACAGGGAGCTCTAGAATATCAAGGGAGCAAGAGGAAGCCAAGAAAACTTGGGTAAATATCTATCTTCTTAGTTCTAAGTAACTGTAAACAGAAGAACTCCTTTGTGATATTACAGAATATGCAAAACTTTCTAGAGAGGCTTCTAAAAATAAAAAATTAACATTTCTCTGTGCATTGACATCGGATATTTTCTACAGAAGTAAAACTTGTATCTACTACTGTCTGCAGACACTAGAACAAGTTCTTACAGAATATTCCTACCCAGCTCTCTCACAGTATTACTCAAGGAAATGTTAGCTTTCTTTTGCTGTTTTTAAAATGCAGATATTAGTAATGAAAAGTGACAGACTAAAACTCTTAAAACTGGTGTCTATTGGCCTGGAACAAGCTCAGTGGGGACAAGAGATGTGCAGGCTTCTCACCACCACTCTAGGAGTATGCTTTTAACGTTCCTCAGGAGCAACTTGTTCAAAGGGAAGATGAAGAGGAGAATTCTTTCTTAAAAAGGGTCCCTCCTTGCCCACTCAACTAATGAATTCAAACTACTGTGAGAGTGTGTGTAGCCAGAAAGCTGGGTGAGATACCTAAATGCATTTCACAAAAACCAACAGATCATCATGCAGCGGTAACAGGTTTAACTTTCTACTTTCACAGGCCAGATAGTGACCAATTCTGGTGAAGAGAGCAAAGATGCATTTGAGGCATTCATTCAAATGAAACCTATGGTGTTTTAATGATATTTTATGGATCTTTTTATTTCTTTTCTGCAAATAATTGTGACTGACTTCCACTTTCTCTGAACTTGTTATAAAAAAAAATAGTCTTACAAAAAATAATCTACATAGTTTTGGTGTGAAGTTTCAGGCCAGAAGTGTTTGCATAGTCATTTTTCTACGTCTTTGAAATAAATAAAGCCTGATGGAAAAATCAATTAAGTTAGTCAGATTGCTTTTGGTAAGCTTTGGATCAAGTCCATCATTCACAAAAACTCCTAAGCTGAAATGCGTTTTGCCTGTAGAGTCTATACAATTCCAAATAATGAATATATAGCCAAAAGTCATAGAATATTAGTGGAAAATGTTCCAACAGTATTCTTGTCATATAAAATACTTTCTGCAACCAAAAACTTGTATGGCTTTACTGTGGACATGGAGGTGAAAGGCTGTGTGGCCTTTTACTGATCATCAGAGTCATTTGGGGTGTCTATACACGTGCTCCAGGGTAGGAGGGGGAATGTTTTAATTAGAACAGTTCCCAGACAGTCACCCTCATTAAAACACTGTAGTGTCAAGTGTATTCAGCGTCCTAGATTTCAAAATGGTTGGGGGAGCGCTTTAACTAGAGCTCGTCCAATGAGTTTTAGTTAAAACATCCCCACCACCTTTTTAAAACATGGGACACTAAATACACATGACCCTGCAGCAGACTCAGTCAAGTCTGCTGTAACTCATTCTAATCAGAGCATGTTCCTATGGAATATGTTTATGACACAAAAAGAGGCAGCAAGATAGAGAAACACACAAACACTATTTCTGGTTAATCAAATTATCTGAACTTTTCTTTCCTTTCTTGCATTGACACTTTTCAGTGTTTTCATTTCCCCATCATAGACAAGTTTTTATTTAAAATATTGACAATATTAAGTTTTAACTGTTATTAAAAATAAGGGTTTTTTTGTTTTGTTTCAAGCCAAATCAAAGTGCTTGACAGAGAGGATGAATATTACAAATCATTGTCAGCTATTGAAACCATCCCTGAAGATGACAACTCACTCAACTCTCCATCTCCTACTTCTTCAAGAGGAGTGTCCTTTGCTCAGAGCTGAATTTTGCCATTTATTCTCTGGTCTAATGCTGGTAAGAATAAGTGTGTATATTTATCTGTGCTGATTTATCTTTGCTTATGTGTGTATTTACATACACACCATAATATGCACATTAGATTATGAAACAATTCTGGCTAATGGATCCTCTAGCAAAATTAGATCCTGTTTTGGTAGAAACAGGTTCACATGAGTAATCCCATTTAATATTACTCATATAAGCAATCCTAGTAAAAGACAATAAAGTTACCTACATTTATAAGATTTTCCAGGATCAGGCCCTAAAGATCTTTCCCTCTAAGACCATCTGGAATTGTAAACCCGGAAGTATGGTACTGCACACAAAACTGTTACTTTTTATTGAGAGGCAGCATAGTTTTGGGTTACAAAAAGATAATGTATCACATTAGACTATTTTAAAACAGCATCCTGTATGACTTTCAACATTTTGTGTAATTTAAAATTATATAGGACAAATATAGTAAAAGTCACTATTGAAAGTCACTTAAAATGATTAATCTATTTCTCAGGATTTATCTCATAAATATGTTCTTATCATATACTATTTTAGCTCATTTAGTAATATCATTCTTTTTAGCTGAAAATTTTACCCAAAATTTAAGTTAAGAGTTTATTAAGAATTTAATAAAAGGAGGGTACATCTACATAAGACACTTACTGCACAGTAGCCTAATAACACTGCACAGTAGCGTGCTGTGCAAATACCATGCTAATATACTGCTGCGCAATGTTATTAGGCTAGTGTGCAGTAAGCATCAAAAAAAACTATGCACTGGTGCTACTGTGCAGTAGCGTGAGTCACTGCCCATTTAGTTAGTACTTCATTAAGCAAGTACTAAAGTAAATGTGTAGTAACTGCTGCAGAGTAATGAACTTGTAGACATGCCCGTATTCATTCATTAATCCCTTTTGTAGCGTTCTTCTGACTAAAACAAAAGATTGTCTTTCAAGTGATCTGGATTTCATTCTGAGACCTGGTACCTACTTTCTGTATGACCTCAAATAAAATGTATAATTTTTGCATACTGCAATTTCCCCACAAAGTAAAATATGTAATATTTCCCTACTTCACAGAGATGTAAAGTTTTATTTGTTAAGGATGAAACTCGCTGTTGACTGAAGCCAATGGAATTTAAGTATATGCCTCAACCTAAGTTTGCCCTTACATCGATATGGGCATAGGATTTGCTGTATTGCATCAAACCTGGAATCCATCCTGACTGGCAGAGCAGTATCCAGCCTCTGACAATGATAAGCACCAGGTGAAAGGTGCTATAACTATGTGGGACAGGTGGGGGGAGGTAAGATCATGTCCCCCACATTGATCTCCTCCTCCTGCCTAATATAAATCTATAAATCTATAAATCTATACAATTTATATCATCTATAAATCGGTTTAAGCCCTGAACCATGAGATGTAATATCCCTGCCAATTTCCCTGTTATCCCTGCTAACATCCTTGTTAAGTTCTTGGCCCTAGAGGGGTAATGGAGTTCCAGAGTTTCATTGTATTTTGTGTAGAAAAGCATTTCCTTTTAATTTCTCAATTCCTCATCTGCAGATTTTGCTACCTCACTATTTGGCTCCTTTTCAGATTAATTAAACAATATATTGGACTAATACAGAACCTTGAAGCAGCTCTCTGGTATTCTTTTGCCATGATGAAAATTGAACATTTTACCTTACTCTACTTTTTTTCTCATAGTTTTTAATTCATGGCACTATGCCTCATCCTATGGCAACTTAGCTTCTTTAGTAGCCTACTATGTGGGCCCTTGTTGAAGGTATGTTTGAAATTTAACTAGTCATTAGTTATTATTGACTAGTTCAAGGTGTTCTAAAACATGTGCGCCATGATTTGGCGGAAACGGTTGGTTAGTTAGTTAGGCCTGATACAGACCCAAATGATGGGCAGAATTGGGTCATGATTTTCAGAAACCCTTCATTAAAGATTGAAGGCTTTGTCACCACTAACATGGACTTGCTTGTAGTAACTGTTAGACTCTTCAGGTGAAGATGCAATGTATACCTCTTCCCCGAGGGACATAAGCCATATCAGCAAAAAGACAATTTTGTTAGTACAATCACACAAGGGCTTTTGCTGGCTTAGCTGCATTGATTAGAGCTCATTACTGACTTAAGTATACCAGCTAAACTTTAAAGTGTAGACCAGGTTTTGTACATGCCTCTGAAATTCAAAAAGCATTCTTCCTCCAACTTCGAAATGTTTGTCGTTTTGTTTACTTATCGCTGCCTCTCTCTGGTGGTCCAAGCCTGGCTGATTCCCAGCAATTTCCTGATTGCTCTTGCAGTATGTTTGGAGCCACAGAAAAAGGCAAAGGGGGCACTGAATACCTTGGGAAAGCCATCATTACCAAAGTAAGCTCACAGCCAACTAGGGCTTTGGGAACACAAAAAGAAATTAGGGTTACCCTAGCAGAAGCCTTCTGTAGAGGCAGTGTTGCTATTTGTGCAGCTGCTTTTGCAGTCTGGCATACAAGATTGAAAGGGAAGTTTCAGAGGTGCAAAGAAGAATACTTGCCATTCATGTTCTGTTCCTCACTCACCAACAAAAATATGACAGAATAGTTGGTAAGATCAAAGACAAAATAGTAGGCCTGTGCAAGTGTGCAGCTATTCGATCCAGCTTTGGATCCAGCCACTTGGGACACCAGGGATCCAATCTGGAGCTCTGGACCAGGTTCCTGCCTTGATCCAGCCGAAGCAGCTCCGAAGCTTCAGATCTGCCTTGGAGATCCGGCCATAAGGTATAATGGGGGATCAATGAAATATCTATAACTTTGGCTTTTTTTGTCTGATTTGGATGGAACTTGCAGAGGTGATAGCCTCTGTAGAGAGCATGAAGCCTGCCAAGTTTAAATAAGATTGGTGCAGGGGGTTGAGGGAAACTGCACCTCAACATCTTGAAAGCAAAACTCATGTCGTGTGTGTGTTACACCACAGGGGGGTGAAAACTGCAGGGGTAGTAGCCCCTGGTGAGGCCACAAAGCCTGCCAAGTTTCAAAAAGATAGGTGCAGGCCTGCTAGCCCCTGCTGTGGCCACAAAGCCTGCCTGCTGTCAAGGAAATAAGTGCAGGGCTTCTGGGCTCTGGGACCCTGCACCTCTGGCTGCTGACAGACAAAACTCGTGACATGGGTGCTTGTGCAACTGTGTGTGTCTTGGGGCACAGGTTTGGGGGGTAGGGAGGGCAGAACTATTGTAGGCCTGGCTGCTAAGCTGCTGTGTTACCACTTACCAATCTATCACGATTCATACAGGGACCAGCTCAATACACAGTACCTAGCTACTAGTAGCTACTAGATAATTAGTTTATTAGCAGTGATTAACTCCTACAAAACCACAGACTAAGGAGAGGAAATAATCAATACAGACAATCAACTGCCCCAGGACAGAGACAGTCAGTTGCACAAGCACCCATGTCACGAGTTTTGCCTGTCAGCAGCTAGAGGTGCAGGGCCCCAGAAGCCCTGCACCTATCTCCTCAACAGCTGGCAGGCTTTGTGGCCTCAGCAGGAGACACCACCCCTACAGTTTTCAGCCCGCTGCGCCTTAACGCACACAGGGTCATCTATGCGAGAGCCGTGCAGGGGAAATGATACTGAGGGGTAACCAACATGGGTTCATGCCAGGCCAATCCTACCTGACCAACCTGGTCTCTTTCTATGACCAGGTAACAAAGAACTTAGATGTGAAGGAGGAAGTCGATGTCATCTTCTTGGACTTCCAGAAGGCCTTCAACACAGTGTCCCACCCAATTCTGGTGGGCAAGCTGAGGGACTGTGGCATTGATGAATGCACAGTCACATGGGTGGCAAACTGGCTCCAGGGGCGCACCCAGAGGGGGGGGGTGGACGGGTCAGTGTCGACCTGGGAGAGTGTGGGCAGCGGAGTCCCCCAGAGCTCGGTCCTTGGGCCGGTGCTGTTCAATCTTCGTTAGCGACCTGGACGAGGGTGTGGAGAGCACCCTGTTCAAGTTTGCTGATGACACCAAGCTGTGGGGTAAAGTGAATATACCGGCAGGCAGGGACCGCATCCAGGCAGACCTGGATAGGTTAGAGAAGTGGGC